AAGAGCTTGCACTGTGCCGCGCAAGGGACGGCCTCGACGTTGTTCCGCGTTCGCAAAGCAAAAGCTCGATGTCGAGTAGCGTTCGCTGCCTTCTTCTGTTTGAGAGTCTTCATGAGCGTTACTCTCCGGGTGGGCGCGAGGAGTTGGAGTCAATTCAGCGGTATCTGCGACAGCTGCCTGCTGCATCGGATTTCAAGGCAGCCATGACCACCATCAGGAGGTGGAAGCTGGCGAGGGGTCGTGCTCAGAGCTTAGGCCTACCGGAACAGGCTCCAAATGAGAGTATCGGTGCACTGGACAGCTTGATGAAGATTCTTGAGAAACGGAACACTCAACTTGCCATGAAGCTCAATCTCTTGAGGATGCAGCCGGACATCATTATCCCAGCGACCTCAGGTCTAGAGAGATATCTTAATCTACTCGAGGTAGAGTGCAGACGCCTTGCATCTGATCAAGAAGTCAGAGATGCACGAGCTGCTCATAGCAGCGAGGAAGTGGTTGTTGCTGCGGAGGCGGCGGCAAAAGGAAAGGGACGTTTGTGCTTTTACTTTGGGAAGCCGGGTGGTTGTTGGAGGGGTGCCGACTGCCCCTTTGCTCATCAGGAGGCCTCTAAAGGGGGTAAAGGCAAAAGCAAGGGAAAGGGCAAGGACTAGGGTGCCAAGGGTAGTGAAAAAGGGACCAAGGGTAGCGGTAAGAATGCCGAAGCATCGAAGGATGACAACAAGGACAAAGGTCGGGTCCCTAAGCCTGAGGCGAAGCCTGAAGCCAAGCCGAAGCCGAAGCCAAAGCCGGAAGCTGCTAAGCCGAAGGTTGAGGCAAAGGCTGCGGTTGCAGGTCTGCTTGGGGTTGATTCGGACATGGGCCCCGGGGCTTCGTCGGTTCGAGTGATTGCGAGAGCTGCGCGTGAGATCACTGATCAGGGCACGGATTCTGAGAGTGGTTCCAGACTGTCGGATGCGGGTAGTGCTGACTCTAGTGATTCCACGGGACGTGCCATCGACAGCGGGAGTGAAGGGGAGAGTGAGGGTCGTCACAGACTGCCGTTGTGGTACCTCGTTCTTCATGAAACGGAGTATGCTCTGCTTTCGTCTGGACCGTTTCAGCTGTTGACCCATGCCATTGCCCCCTTTCAGCAGGTGAATGGACCAAACTTGATTGCTGTGGGTATTTGGCAGATTCTGGAGGAGCTGGACTTCCAGCTTCCAATTGAAGACTCGCAGATAGGGCTGAATCAGTACATCATTGAAGCACATCAGACATTATGCATGTATCAAGATGGAGTGCTTAGGCCAGTGGTGTTGGTTCATGTGGTTGATGAGGATACGGGTCGTGAGCAGATGCTTGCGCTGACGGAGAGTGAAATCCCTCCAAGGATTGAGCATTGGACACTCGAGGATGCTAGGAGAGGCATGAGGCTTCAAGCGTTCTCAGGGGCAGAAGTCATGACACAGAGAGCGGAGCGAGCGCAAGCTAAGGCCCCTACGGTTGCTATCCTTCTGGGTCCAACGAGGTTCCAAAGGCTTCAGCTCCCCAAGTAGCCCCTAAGGCGTCAGCCCGGAAGGCAAAGGCACGAGTATCCAGCTCGTCCCAGGGTTCGGCGTCTCCAGCATCCACAACTCTTCATAGGGCTAATCATGCTGAGCAGGTTCAGACTCCATGTGCTACTGTGGCCAGGGCTGACTTAGGTCCGCAAGTTCTGGTTGATTCAGGGGCAAATGAGTGATTAGACCGAGACCAGCGAACTATGATGTTCATCGGTGCAAGAAAACTCAGGTGGCTTTGGCATCGGGGGACACAGTGCATGCATGGAGAACGCGGGATGGTGAACTTATGATTGGGGATGTTGAACTTGACCAGAATGCTGATTGGATCCTCAGTGTCCGTCGATTGAGGGGAATTCAGGGTGCTTTCATTTGGGATGAGATGGGTCCCAGGGTGAAGTATTGGAACGGTGAGTCCTTTGTCACTGTGCATTGCCTTGAGCAGAACGGGCTCCCTTACATATCATGGGAAGACTTTAAACCGATCCGCGTGCTTTTGGCTAAAGAGTGGAAGAAGCGTGGAAGCATCAGTGTAATGCGAGCAGAAACTTCACCTCTTCATGTGACGGAATATGAGCCGACGATTGAGATTCTTGGNNGCATTGGAGGATGTTGGTGAGCAGAGGGCCCGGGAGCTGTGCGCCAAGACCAAGGTCACGTTTGATGAGGTCTGGGATGCGATTCAGATGGCCAGCCTGGTGGAGAGGAAGACTGACCGAGGGAAGGTTCTTGAGAGTGAGAGCAAGCAACTTCCGATGTGGGTATTCGGTCTGTTTATTCATGGTGGTGTCTTGGGAGTTACTTCGGAAACACGGCGACATCCATGGCTGACACGGCTCTTGACGAAGATGGTGCGACAGCATCATCCGGATTTGGAGTTTCTGTCCATTGGTGTTGGAATCAACTTGGCATTTCGTCCTCATCGAGATCGCAACTCTCTAGAGAGGGAGTCAGTGCTCTTTGGAGTGTCCCGCTTCATTGGGGGTCAACTTTGGGTTGAAGGACTGCCAGGCGAAAGAGGGAACAATGCCCTTAGACGAGTCGACAACAACGAGGAGCCTAAGACAGGGAAGATCCATGAGCTGTCGCACAGGAGTGTGCGTTTCAATGCTGCAAT